TGGCACTCTGATTCTGTCCCAGATGGAGGCTATGCTAAGATTCGCTTCTTAAACTACCAGCAGCCTCAGGCATGGTCTGTTGCCACAGGAGGTGAGAGATGTCGGGACAAGCTTGCCAGCTGGCAGTGCTGCTGTTAGATCCTGGTACCCAGGTCCGCTGGATGAGAAGTGCTCATTCAGGCTGACGCCTGGCCATTGGAGTTGTAGAGCCAGTCAGGGCAGGCTTTGTCCCTTGCTTCTTATGTCACAGTACAGGGATCTCTGCATGTGCCTCTTTTCAAAACCTGCATGGAACTGTTTTGCCACTGATTCTCTGCACCCTCAAGTAAGTCCTGTTCCCTTTGTGGGCTTCAGTTTTCCTACCTATAAAACAAGGGAGGGGTTACACTTGGTGCCCTCCAAATTTACAGAGGATGTTTCCAAATCTACAGTGTCTAAGTAGGTTTAGGGAAGAAGGAAGAGACCAGCATTACCTGAGAAGGAGGGGCAGGAGGGAGGCTCTTGAGTAGTGAGGAAGGATGCCCACCTATGTCAGGGCATTGGTGTCTGAGCTTCTGTTGCCTGGTTAGTGTGAGTCTGTTTAGCATCCTGAAGGCCTTCATTGCTACCGCTCTCTGCTCCTGGAAATAGCTGAAACATTGAATACGTGCAGAAGGGCTGCTTCTAACAAGCCTGTGTCCTGCCTCTGTGTACCCTGAATGCCAGTTCCCAGTGGGGCCCCAGGAGAGGTATGCATGCAGTGTGGGACATTGATGCCTCTCCCCAGGAAACAGAAGCAGCCTGTGCTCCACCCACCTGTCACTCCTCAGGGCCCGGCCCCCTCCTTGCCCATCCCTCCAGGGAAGCATGCCCTGGAGAAGCCAGGCTTGAGTATGACAGGACTTGCATGCCATTTCTGTGAATCACGAGCTACGTCCATGTGTGCTGACCAGGCTGCTGCCCATTTTACAGATGGCACCTTCGGAAGGTACCGTGACGCAAATAGGGCTCCTCTCCCAAGACATTCACCGCCTTACGGTAGGACTCTGACCGTCTCCCCATAGTCAGACTGGTGCTAGGGAGGCCCAGTGAGTTTGGTGTGGTAGTGCACAAGGCCTGGAGAACAGCAAAGAATGGTGCTCAGTGCTGGGGTCACAGCCTGAGCCTGAAACAGCCCCGAGGCAGAAAGCAGCCCAGGGGCCTTCTCTGTTGGCCTGTTACTGGACCTTGAGCCCTTAAGGGCATTGGGGAGGCTCATGGGCTGTTAGCCAAAGCCAGCTAAAGCACACTAGATCTCAGGTCCTCTTCCCAGGCTTAAAGATGAGGAAACCAAAATGCTCAGCAGCTCTGGATCATCTGTCTCAGCAGCCTAGAGCCCAGGCTGCATCCTGTCCTAGTGGACACTTCCACCCTCTGCCCAGAGACAAATGCATTTCCTATCGTGCCTCTGACTTTGTGGGTATCACAAAGTGTTGACAGGCTTGTGAGCACATCTGGCATGCCCGAAAGGACAAACTATATCATGGGGAAGGAGCTCGGCCTTGAAAAGCAGTTTTGGAGTGAGGCTCAAGTCTCTGCTCTGACTTCACTAGCTCTGTGACCTGGGGTGTCATTCTCTCCTGAGCTTTGGCTTAGTTATCTGTAAAGCAGGGCTAATGATACCCTCCTTGCCAGGCTTACAGGCAGACTAGAGCCAGCAGGAAAAGGCCAGCCACAGAGCGCAGCCACAGAGCACAGGATTTGTTTTTGAGGACCCATAACTCCCAAGGCCTTTTAGTTCATGGACATCCCATCACTCAGCCTGTTGGCTGTAGTGTCTGTCCCCATCGAGGCCCCTGTCACTGTACTTTGCTTGCTTGTCTAACAAGGCCCATTGGGAAGAGAGGACAAGGACAGGGACACACGACTCTCCTTGTATCCAAGGACACAACAGGGAAGTCTCCCTGACTCCAAACAGGATCAGTTTGATTCAACGTTTTTATTTATTGGCCCACCCATGAAAGGAATCTGACCACACTTGCCCTTATGATCTAGTCCTTCGATGGCCTGAAAATAGAAAATGTATTTCTAAGATGAACAATTTATTTTTATCTTAATAGTATTGTTTATTCTGATCCAATACTCAGGGTTTCTTGGGACACTATAAACACTATACAGTTCACCTGCGTCAGATGCAGCCCTCACCCAGTGCCCTCTAGTTCCCATGCAGCTGCTGCAGGGCAGCCTGGACCAAAACTCTGTTAAACTGACCCTTCGGCTGTGTCCTTTTCAGACAATGCTGAGCCAGGACCAGCTGCTGAATGACTCTCGCCTGCCTGCCCCCGACTCTGATGACTGGAGATGACTTTCTTCATGGCTGAGAGCGTAGGGAGGCATGTGTGGGGGCCCAGAGCCTTTGCTTCTGTGGGGAGCTGGCACACAGCCCTCTCTGCAAGCCCAGTCTGGGCTGGCAGGGTGTCTCAGACAGGGTGCCGACAGGCACGAAGCAGAGCTGTGGGACAGGTGTCCAGGGGTGGCCCCAGGGTCCGTGCGTGTCTTCAACCATGCTGCGCTCTTCACCGCAGGCTTCATACCTTTTGTACTTTTATACATGGTCTGCGGACCACTTTTGTGGGAGGGCAGTGAGATATCAGCACGCAGACTAGATGGCTCATGCTATTCCTGGTGACATCCTGGAGGCTCTCACACCCGAGGAGGAGAGCTGTTAGTTAATAAAACCTGCTGGAAAAAAAGTTCCGAAAAACTGTTTTGAATGTTCTGTAGAGACTGCATTTTGTGAAATGATCACCGGGAGCTCCCTCCGGCACTGCTTCACAGGAGCATGCTTTTCCATTCACAGGACTGTGGCCGGGCAAGGCAGGTGTTTAGGGTGTGAGCAGGGAAAGCAATGAGGCCCCTTTCCCACAGCCCTGCCTGACTCTATCTCCCGTCATCTGCAAGGGGTATCTGTGCAACCTCCCAGCTTGGAGCAGAGGCGTCCCCAACACATGCACGCCCTGCCCTTTGCCTCCGCCCAAGCTGACACACAGCCTCCCAGGCCTTGCCCTTGGAGCAGCTCAGGCATAATGTCTGATTAAATAGCTCCCCCAAGTGGAAGGCCCTTGGGCACCTCAAGCTCCGTGTTTCCACCGCAACTCACCAACTTCCCAAACATGTCCGCTTCCTCTCCACTCTTTAGTCTTTCCTCCCTCCAGGCATCTGCTCAGGCCCTTCCCTCACTGGGGAATGCATTTTTCTCCTAGTCCCCTTCATGAGGCAAAATCCTGTCTCCCAAGGCATGGCAAAGAGACCGTCTCTCAGGAAGCCTTCCCGCATGATCCAGTTACAGGTCAGCTGTCCCACAGTACCGTGTCTGCCCTTGAGCCAGAGCACAGCTCACCTTGAAGTTTCATACCCGTCCTCACCACAAACTTGGAGCACCTGCTCTGGGCTGGTTCCTGTACAGACAGTCCTCCAATTGCCAAGGAGATCCATGCTCCTAAGTTCCCCATCCACCCACTCCTTCACATGTGTGTGTTAAGTACCTTCCATGCAAGGGCTACAGATATAGGCATGAATGCCAAGGTCCCTGCCTGAAGGTGCTTACAGTCTAGTGGAGTACAGACCAGTTTCCAACAAGACTTTGCCAAAGGATACAGATGCTCCAATATTAGTTTCTGCAGCCTAAAAGAGCATGTTATCATTTTTAATGGGAGTTTGGGGAAGGAGTCTGAATAGGTTCCATGGAAGAGGTGACACTTGAATTTGGAAAGATGAATCATATTTTCCCAGATATGCCAGAGGGGAAGGGCATTCCAGGTAGACAGACTTGAAACAGCGCAGCACAACCTAGGAATTGCCAAAAGTTGGTAGGCTAAAGCAGGGTTTCCTGGCCTCTGTGCTGCTGTCACTTTGGGCTGCGTAATACTCTGTGATGGAGGCTCTCCTGTGGGTTTTAAGACGTTTAGCAGCATCCTTGGTCTCTACCCTCTAGATGCCAATAAAGGGTAGATGCACCCCTTCTCTAGTTGACAACCAACATATCTTTGGACTTTGTTATCTGTTCCCTGAGCAGCAAAATCACCCTTAGTTAAGAACCACTAGGCGAGAGAATGGGGTCAGAGTTGGGGGCCCAGGGAAAGGAAAATCTGACAAAGTCAGCAGGAGCCAAATTAAGAAAGGCCTTGGGAGCCAGACCCTGGAGTGTGTCCTGGAGAGAAGGGGTGGCCAGAGTGGGGTCTCCCTTGAAAACAGTGAAGGATTCCCAAGGAGACACTGAACAGGTGGATGGGTGAGGTTGGCCACCCCTCCCTCCCACCCCCACAGACCTTCTGTGAGGTCATCTCTGTGTTTGGCCACCGGAGGGTAAGACACAGCTGTACTTCAGCGAGCTCCCCAGAGCCCTGTTCCCTCTCTCCGCTCCCCTCTCCCTCATGCACATGCACACTGAGTAACAAGTCCAGTGACACCAAGTTCCAATGTGGCCGCCATTATGTCAGTTTTTGTGAAAAGAGGAACAACTTAGAATAAAACTGGCCTAGGTTTAAGGCCAGCTTTGCCACCCACTGGTTGAATGACCTGGGAACACAGTCTCCAGGCCTCAGTTTCCTCATCTATAATTTGGAGAACAAAATCCCTACAGAATCTCTGGTTTGTTATGAGACTTCTATGAAGCAGGGCAGAAGCAGCTCTACCCACTCACAGGTAACAGAGCAGCACTGTGTCATCCTGGCCATGAACCGCAAGGGGCCATGTGGTCACTCGTATTGTTTGGGTTTCATGATACTACAAAGGATTTAAGGCAGCTTCTGGAATCTGACTTTGAAAGTTGAGAAGTTTCTGTGTGTAACCACTCCTACCATGACCCCCAGTGCCATGGAGAGATTCTTGAGAGTTGATGTGACCCCACTTGGAGTTTTTTGGGAATTGCCCCTACACTTGACAGTTCTGACCTCCATGGGTATGCAGACGCCAACTCACAGGCCAGGCCATGGCCTCTGACTACCTAGCAGGTCCCCCACAGAGCCACACTTCATGGGCTATCTGTTTTGTACTTGAGTTTATTTCACAAAACCATGGAGACAAATACTGAAATGGAGCTCTTCCCAGCCTCCAAGCAAGGAGGCCCCAGCAGCCAGTCTCCAGCCCCTTAAGCCCTTCTTGTTAGGCCCACACCCAAAAGAGAGGAGAACCAGTGTCTGCGTGAGGGTACCTGGCAAGGCACTTTTGAAAACATCCCAGTTTAACGTGGTGAAACTGAACTTACTCTGAAACAGATGAAAAGGGACATGCAAATTTCCTGAGCACATGGAGGTGTTAGTAGGTGAAAATCATGTCCTGGGTATAACCCAGCTTCTCCAGGTTAGGGTGAGCTGCCGTCTGGATCAGGGGTGGTGGGCCACACACCAGGATGAGCGTGGACTTCCCTGGAGGAGGAAGGTGCTCCTTGATCATGTCGGCAGTAACAAAGCCTGAGCTGTACTTCCAGCCTGAAATGAAGCAGACGCAGGAGAAAGCTGTGGGATGCCAGGTGGAGTTCCTGATCCCAGGCCGCCTATATACCCACCCTCAACCAGGGAGGAGGTGACAAGCTGCTCTACAAAGGCTTAGAAGTCTGTACTACTGCTCCCTGCAAAAAGCCTCAGAACTAGTAAACAGCCCTCTGCAGCAGTCGCCCCAGGTCCCAGGCTCACTGCGGGGACCCTGAAGCCTTGCTGCTGTCAGCTGTCAGCATTAATGAGGAAGGAGAACACAATGAGGTATACCGAAGTGTGTGAATCAATACGGCCGGCTGGAGTTGTCCGGCAGGGTGTGGCCTGGTGTTAGTGGAACTGCTCAGAATTGCTCAGTCGGGTAGTGGCCTCTGCCAACCACGAAGCTATATGACAAGCAGGTACAGCTGGGCGCAGTGAGATGTGCGCCTGTGGGGTGCTCTGTGCACAGTGGTTGCTGGGATGCTGCCTGGGCTGCAGCAGCTGTCTGGGGGCTCAGCATGTGAAGATTGCTGTCCAGGCGAGGTGGGTGGTGAGGGGTGTGGTGGCCGTAAGCAGAAGCGTGAGTGGTGAAGGGGTCAGTGCCCATATTAGATGTGTATGTGATGGTGTGTGGAGTGGGTGGGTGTTCAGAGTGGACAGGGGCAGTGTCCCTTTTGATGTTCAGTGCAGTGTGTGGGGTGCTGCTGATGTATTAGACACCTGCTCTTGATTGCCCTTAAAAGCAGACCATCCCAAATCCTCTCTCCCTCAATTTCTCACATTTCCCACCTGGAGCCAGAGCCCAAGGCTTCACCCCCACATCTGTTCCTATAAAACAAAAACAAAACAAACAGAGACCAGTCCTCAAAGTGGTCAAGGGTTGATGCTGACCCATGGTGGGTGAGGGCACTGGATATCGTACCAATAGGAGGCCTGTCCAGGGTGTACCACAGGTCGAACTGGTCTGGGTGAGTCCTGGCAATTTCTTCAAGCTCTTTTCTGACCAATATATCCTCCTCTGTCTAGAAAAGAAGCAACACTAGAAAAGCCCCTCCAGGGCCATCTTGTTGTTCCCTGGACTGACTACACTGGTCAGCATACGCTTGGCCAAAGCTGCTGCCGCTCCAGCTGGAATGCTCGCTGCCAACTTTCAGGGCAAACAGGAGTTCTGCTGCTGCTCGTGAAGATCAAACCGTTTGTCTTGTGGATGAAGTTGGTGGTAGGATGTCGGTTCCCATGGAGCTGTAGTGACTGCCTCCAGCTAGAAGGACCTTTGCCAAGCACTGGCCAGGATGGCTTCACGCAGAGCTCCAGCCCTGCCTCCTACATCTACACTGAGCTCTAGCACAGCAAACCTAACTGGAACAAGCTCAGTGCAGGCCCAGGATCTTCTGGAAGAAATGTAATGGGCTCAGAAAGTCCTGTGATAGAACAGTACTGGATATGTGAAGGAGAGGAAAACAGTCTGGAGCCTCATTTGGGGAAAAGGGAACCAAAGCCAAAAATAACCTGTCACAGGCTCAAACGTACTGCACAGAAGACCTGCACAGAACCTTCATGATTCTCATCCCAGTCATTCCACTTCTGGGATTCTGTTTTAGAAAATAATCTAAAAGTAATCAAGCGTAGGCACAATTATTCATCACCATATTATTTATAACTGAAAACAGCCTGAATATAGAAGTTAGATTATAGTGCAACTTGATAAAAACTATGATGAAAATATTTATAAAGCAGTTTAAAGAGAAGAAAATGCCTGTGTGGTAATGCTGAGTGAAAAAAATGGATATATAAATTATAAATATATCGTATAGATAGAAAAAAGATTTAAAAAATAAGTATTTATATTCTGTATTTTCTGAAGTGTCCACTGAGGACATCTGTGATTTTGCACTTAGCAAAAATGTAGCAATACATATTAAGGAAAAAAGGAATGCTTAGTGCTTAGGGTTGGCTGAGGAGACACAAAAGAGTTAAATACATGCAAAAAGCAGGCCTAGACTCAGCTTCTCCAGCTGCCAGCAGCCCTGTTGATCCCACTAAGCCCTCCCACAGTCACAGGCACCCAAGCAGCATGAGCTCAGTCAATGGAGGAGAAATGAAAACAAGAGCCCAGCTCAGCAAACATTCCATCCTACCACTGCAAGCTCAGCAGGAACTGACCTGGTTGGCAAAGATGAGGGACATCCTGGTGCTGTCACTGGGGTCCTTGGTGATGTGGCGAATGAGCTGCAACATGGGTGTGATGCCTGGAACATAGTGAGTGGGCAGCCAGCTTTCTCCCTGTCTCTGAAGCCCACAGTCCCTGACCTGCAGCAAGCTTACCTGCCCCCAGCCCCAGTTATCCTTTTCTCACTTCTGTCCCCAAAACTCAAAAGTGGGAAACAGCCCTTCATTTTGGTTTTCCTTTCTAATGCAACAGTAAGTCAGAAGGTCTTTCTCATTTTCATATGGCAAGATGGAAAGAACACTCTAAGTTCTTCCGTGTCCTCATTCATCAAACAATTAATGATGGGTAAATGTGATAGCTTTAAGAGTGCCTATTACAGTGCCTGGCACATTGTATGTCTCCTTCAAAGATTGTTCTCTTCCTTCAGGCAGTCATTTTCAAGGGATGGGGAGAGTCAGACTTGAACTGGATCCAGGCGCTCCTGGGACAGCATGGGTGGGCCTGCCCAGCTTGGCCCCCAGCCTGACCTGAGAGGTCCCTGCAAGGCTCCTGAGCAACCACCATGTTGGTTAGGGGAAGCAGGGCTTGCAGGGTCAGTTTCAAGACCTGTCACTGATTCATCATTCCCACCTTCTACAGCTGGGGGCGAAATCGCTCATGTTGTCCCTTCGAGGATCAAATGACTCCCAAGTCAGAATGGTCTCAGGGCTCATTCTCCGGATGGAGCCCCTAGAAGCCTCTTACCTGTGCCCCCAGCAATCATTCCCAGGTGATGGGCCAGTTTTTTTTTAGGCTCACTCGTCTGGTCTGGTCTGATTCCAAGATTCCCTGGAAACACAGGGAATGCTTATGACCTCTGCAGTTCTTGCCTAAGAGACTGCAAAAGATCACTGACATTCCTTAGGACTCCCAGGAGGCAGCTCCAACTAAAGGACTGTCTGCACCATTTTAAGCTGGTGAAGCAGGCCAGGGCAGTCTCCTCAGCGAGTTCTGGCGCCCCAGTGCACAAAGTGGGAATAGAGCCTGAGCCTGCTCAGGGAATCGCCGGACCTTTGGTTCTGAGGAAAAAGAGGGGCAAGCTGAAGTTAACACAGAGACTCAAAGAGCATTCTCACGGAGGTGAACCAGTGAGTAAATAATGGCTATGTGAGTAAGCAAAGGAGCATGGACTCCTCCATCCATTTTTCAGTATTAGCAGGCACCATTTATGTATCAGGCATTGTGCTGGAGACATTGATACAATGACGAGGAAACACCAAATCATTCCCCTACCTTAAAAAAGCTTACAACCTCATGAAGTGGGTGTGTGAATGTATAACAAGTGTGGTCATTATGCATTGTGTGTGAATGAATGAAGACTAAGGACAACCCCATGTGACTCAAATCTGAGGCGTGTACGAGAACAATGGAACCATTGAAGGAATCTTCCTCCCAGCTGGGAGCCCAGTATGAACCCCTCCAGTACCTGGCCCATGGTAAAACAAGCGTCCCTTTGGCCCTCGAAAAAAGATGGTGTCCCCGATTTTCATGTTCTCCAAATACTGAGTCATCTTCCCCCCTTCAGGATATTGGGGGTGTACATTTTTGAAGTAGATCTGAAAAGCAAGGCAGCACTGCTTTCACATTCCCAGACACAATGCCACAGCCACACACAACCAGAAAATGCATTTACTGCTGGAAGCTTTGCAGAGAAAATGTTCTGCTCTCTTAATTGCTGTACGCAGTCCCTGAAGATGAAGCTGCCTCAAGGTTAACTGTAGCTTCACTGCTGGATAGCCCTGTCTAGGGCATATGTCCCCTCAGAGAAAAAGCACTGCCCCTCCACCCCACCACCCTCAATAGGCTTGAAAGCACGAGGCAGCCAGATATGGTGAGCACTATTTACCTTTATAATTAAGTCCACAAAGCCTCTGTCATCATCACTGGAGACAGGCGTGTAAGCCCTGACCACCAATTCATTATCAATTTTCGCCAAGAGCTGGACATAGTTACCTATAGAAAAGGCATCAAGCACTGAGTCAAAGCATACTTAGCTTAAATAAGGCCCAGGGATAAAGGACTGAGCTTCAGTGAAGGGAGCAAATACTGGGGCAGAATGTTAAGGGGGGCGGGAAGGAGAGAGCAGGGAAGGAGCCCCAATATGGGATGCCTGGATCCTAGGCCTGCTCTGCCTTGCTGTGCTACCCTAGGCAAGTCACTTCACCTCTCTGGGTTTTGGTGTCTTCATCTGTAAAATAGGGATGATATGTCTGCCCACCTGTGATCATAGTATAACTGCTTTTTGGAGCAGGAAAAGATCATTAAAGTTGGAGGGTGAGTATTAAAAATTACAGAAAGGGGTCAGACATGGTAGCTCACCCCTGTAATCCCAGCCCAGAGGCGGGTGGATTGCTGGAGCTCAGGAGTTTGAGACCAGCCTGGGCAACATGGCGAAACCCCATCTCTATAAAAAAATACAAAAAATTAGCCAGGTGTGGTGGTGCACACCTGTAGTCTCAGCTACTTGGGAGGCTGAGGTGGGAGCATCACCTGAGCCCAGGAGGTCGAGGCTGCAGTGAGCTGAGACTGTGCCACTGCATTCCAGCCTGGATGACAGAATGAGACCCTGTCTCAAAAAAAAAAAAAAAAAAAAATTACAGAAAGGAGTATTTGTCTATTCAAGAAAAATATGTGGCCTTCACAGACTAATTTCTTCCTAAACTGGATGTATCACTGGGGTCTGTGAATAAATTACAACTACTCCATCTGTATCCTGGTATTAGGCACAGAGCAGACCTGGGTTAATAGATACTATAGGGTCCTAGGATTTGGGCACCCATGGAGCAAATGAAGCAACAATATCATGTCTTCCTAGCCTATGGCCCTGTGAGGAGTAGCAGTGAAGTTTTAAACCATGTAACTCTGCCCTTCCTGGGTAGAATTCAATAAACCAAGTATGGCCGGAGACCTATGGATCATGACTACATCCCACTGTCAGATGATACACTGGGCAGCTACAACCTGTTGGATCCAAAATGTGAGACTCAAATTACTAAGGCAATTAGTGGCAGGGACAGGAGTGCAATCAAGAGATAAAGTTTTGTAACCCTAACCCTAACCCTAAACCTTGACTAATTTCCTGTATGTAATCAGTTTCTACTCCCTCAGTTTCTACTCGCTCAGAAACTGAGTGGACTACATACAGGAAATTAGTCAAGAGACAAGGAAGATGGAACAGAAATATGGATAGAAACCAAGACCTAAGGTGCAGGGAGGAGGAGGTGGCAGGAGGAGAAAAAAGGAGGCAGAGTAGGCACTAGAGGGGCTGGTCCCTGAAGCTGATTCAAGGGGATGAGCCAAGTCTTTGAGGTGCCAACACTCTGGGCTCAGAACAGGCTCAATGACTCTGGTCATGGTCCCTCTGGGCACCAGGGATATGCAGAAATAAGTGCCTGAGACACCTAGCTTCCTTCTGAGAACCTGAAACTGGAAACCTGGAAAGGCTCTTTCATATGCAGCCACCTAGGCCTGGCCCGAGGTTGTCCCCAGGGCAAATGGGGCTCCCTGGCTGGTCCTTCAGGCCCCATCTCTGGCTTCACTTCCACTGACCTGGGACAAAGCAGCGAACTCTGAGGCTTCATATTAGACTCTCCCAGAAGCCTCTACATTACCTTGTCCCACTAACTTTGCACGGCCTAGGCCAAGGCTGAGGAGATAGTGGTTCAAGGCAGTTTCTAAGAAATTCTGTATCTCAAAGTTTTTCATTCTTTTAGGCTTCCTGCCAACAGGACCGGCCTGACAGGCCAAGCAGAGAGCTGGGAGACCGCACGCACAACACTGAGCTCTCGTGCATAGAGAGGGAGTGAGGGAGCAGCAAGGAGGCTCAGGGGCCCAGCCAGCTGGTTAGAGTGTAATCTCACCCCCTGATGGAGTTGAGGTCAAGGTTTTGTCCTGTTTGCATATAAGACAAATAGGCCACGGAGTAGGATCCACCAGGCAGGCAAGCAGCACTAGCAGATTATACAAAGCTTCTCTGAATCCCTGATTCTAGCAGTTTTCTACTGCACTAAGACTGACTCAGCTATCTGATGGTGTTACAGATTAGAAATGGGATAACTCAACTCTAGGACTCCTAGGGCTGGCCCCTCCTTACGTGGGTCTGAGGCTCCTGCAGAGAATCTAAGTGACCGTGGGGGCAGGTCACACCTAACTCATTCCTGCCTGCCCGCACATTCTGGGCCTTTCCCCTGACCATTGGTTCCTCCCATCCCTCCCAGGTGCACAATACTTTGCAGTTTCTGAATTTTCATATCCATCAGTCACTCTACTTTCACAACAACCCAAGTGAGGTAGACAGGCAGGCCTGGGAAATCTCATTTCATAGACTGGGGCTCAGAGAGATTGAAGGACTTCCCTGAAGTTCCCCAGCAAGGAGCCTTCCATGAGATCTTAGGCCTTTTGGCTCTAGGTTCAGTTCTTTTCAATGCTCACTGAGGTACCATTCTTGTGTCAGCCCAATTGGAATAATGAAGAAAATAAATTTTCTGTCCCACATGCATCCACCTATGTCCCTGAGCACACAGGCTCAGGAGGAGCATGAGGGCATCTTCCACACCTCAGGACGTGGGAAACCTGTGTTTCTGTTCGGAGAGGAGGGCTTAGCCCCCAGAGGTCCCAGTCCTGGTGATGACCCAAGCCCAGCTCACCTACAGGAAGTCCTAAGACATGGTCAGGCGAAGGCAGTTCAAAGCGGAACCTCCGGGTGTTGTGGCTGATTTTCTAACAAAACAAAACATAGGCAGGTTCTGTCAGCTTTCTAGAAGCCTTGTTGGGCAGGTGAGATGCCTGGGAAAGGAGATCCGTTTGGCGCTATTCCAGCACACGCACACAGGGCGGCAGGGAGTGAACTGGAGGCCATGAGATGACTGTCTGGCTGCCCTGCCATCCCAGCCATCATCCACTTACTGCCTTACACCCGCAGGGCTGACCCATTACCTCTTTCTCAATCAAGGGCAGCGGGTACTTGGCTTCAGGGTCTTGTAAGGTGATAGGCTCTCTCTTCCTGGAGTTCATGCTCTTCAGGACCAACACGAGCACAGTGACCCCAATGACGGTGATGGTCAGGAGCAGGGACGGGTCCTGGTAGACACAATGTAAGCAGAGCACCTCAGGTCTTGCCCGCCCTGGACAGGGCAGCTCTCAGGCGCAGTACACC